CCATCACTTTATTTAATGCTATCAGACCCAAACTGACCCTTCTTGCCTCTTGTACAATGCCATCTAAAACAAAACAATTGAAGCTCCTCACCTCAGCCCAAGGGCAGGTTTACAAGGGAATTGCAACATAGAGAAACCCCAACCTTCCATCTTCTATCAGCTGATCACCTCAACATTCCATCTTCTTCATCAATGGATTTCCCCAACTCTACTGCCCTTTTGAAAGGCCCATTTTGCCTAACAACAGAATGCCAAATATATTGACAAGGAGCTGCCCAGGGGCTAGCAAATCAAGTCCTTAGGATTTCCCTCCTTGTGGCCCTCAACATCTACAAAAACATTACACCTTGTGTAAAGGTGGCACCCAATAATAATTGTAATAAAACCTGGTTCTCTTCAATGTTGTGCTCCTTCCGACTGAATCCATGAAATTTATTCTAGTACTTCTTGTGCCATATCTGTCATCAGACATTGGCGATCATGTTGGCAATCCTATTCTAGTACTTAATAAATGTTAACGTTCTTTCTCTTCACTAGAAAAAAGAAATTATATCTTTTCTGCAGAAAATAATGCTTTCCTTTGACTCAACAACAACTTGATCTTTCAAAAGAATATCTCCGCATAGTTGCTATGGTTATGTTTGCATGGAATTGGAAGGCAGAATTTTTGAGGAACATTCTTATTTGTAGACATAAGCACAAAGATCTACATTAGATTTGAATACAACAAATATTAAGAAGAGAGAAATATTCACAAAATAACATTCTTCAAGATTACCCACGAGTGAACAGCATGTTAATACAGCTGTGTGCCTGAACTTCTGGTCAACAGGCGCACTTAATCCCCCCCCCCCCCAACTCTGTCCATGTTTTGTTTACTTCATCACCTAAATTAGAAACACTGGTAAATGCCTCTGGGAATAAGATAAGATCTGAAGATACAGTGTGACAGGGGTATATTCATTCGTTAATAACAAGACTTCTGAAAAATTCTGTTTTACTGTTCTCGGCAATTGTGACTTTTCTTTCATTTATTTTAAATATTTCTGTAAACAGGATTCTTCATAAGTTTTGGGGAAAAGTAATAAATTCTGGGTGCTGGAATGTTTACTAGTCATCAGAAGCATTTTTAATCTGCATGTAACATCCTCTCCAAAGTTCTGGCAATCATCATACACAAAGTGGTCCACAAGAGGAACAAAGGCTTCGTTTCATTGTTCTGGCTTTATTAATAGGATGGATAGTTCTCCTTTTGGAAAGGAAATTAGCAGACTTTAAAAAGTCAGCTGAAATATATCTAACAGGGTCATGAAAATCCCACACTCCCTCTACTAGTAAATAATTAAAAAAAAATAGTAGTCTGTAGTGGAAATTTGCCAAAGTAGAAAATTGAAACTGCTTTCTAAGTTCCACAAAAAAAGGATTAAAAGCTTATCTAAAGGTTTTTTTTTTTTTTACTAAGTGCTCTGGATTTTACAAACTTTTACCAGTAGACTTTATAAGCTGAAAAATGATTTTTAAGAAAGATGACCTACAACAGTAATACGTTTCTTAGGCTGCTTTCACATTTAACTTGTGTAATTACAATCACAAAGAGATGCTTACTTTTTATATATAATTAGATTTCTCCTCAGATCTTTTTTTGATGTGATTTTCACATGAATAATCATGGAGTATATAAATAAACATGTTTTGGAACATGTTTTGTTACAGAAAACAATTCCATACTGTTAATGTCTTCTATGTAGACTGCTAAATCATAAATTCTCATTTACGATGTCATTCTTTGGAACTGTAGAAACCAACAAAGACCAAAGAAGTGGAATATTTCAGAAACAAATAACTTGAATTAGAATAACTTTAAGAAATGCCCTTTTTGGTTCTTTGCACAAAAAAAGTATTGATAAAATGTAACTTAGAACTTATATTGAAGAGGACAAAGATTAGCATCCATGTTTAAGAATGTAAGTGGAATCTTCTTCAAGACAAGCTTGATTCTTGATGATGTCATCACTGCTTCCATGTAATTTTATTGGCAACAATATAAAAGTGATTTTCTATTGTCTTCAGAGTTTTGCTTTGCTTTGCTTTGCTTTACTTCCCAGACTACCTTGCAGATCTGCTCTTTCCTTGTGCTCTCCTATTAAAGAACCAACAGAGATGTGCAAAAGGCAGTCTTTAGGAAGAAAGAGTTTTTCACACAACTACTAAGTCCATTCCTAATATGCTGTCAACTAGAAGGATGTTTAAAAATGCAGCATGTGGAAAAAAATTGTACTGAAAGTTGCTTTTTAAAAAACCTGATTTTCTATTCAGTGGGATTATGAGATGGCATATTGAATGTTGTATGAAGTGGAAAAAACAACAATTGAAAACTTATATGGTTTCATTCCAAATTATTCAATTATATCCTTTAAAAAGCACTAAATAATACATACTAAAATGGGGGGGGGGGACTTAACATAAAAAGAATGAACAACATACATTTTTACAATAAACACAAATCAAATTCTAACCAGCAAATTAAGCTTAAACTATAGAATAGCTTTGCTTGATCTTGCCTTTCCACCAATCAGTTCAAAGGCTGAGAGCTCACTAAACTAATATTTCAAATTGATATGAATATTTTTTTCCAGAAACTCATAATCACATTATTTTGCAACAGTCCAAAGGCAATATACCCAAATAGACAAATTCTAATGTTTGGGAATGTAATTCAACATAATGATGTCTTTAAACCTTAAAAACTGACTGGTGCACCATAGTAATAATATCTAACTCAAAAGAACTACCAGTGGAAAGACTAAGACACACTAAAATCGAATTTATTACACCCCAGCATAGGAAAGATAACAATCCTGCTTGAAAATCCATTTAGGAATTCAAAATTCTCCCCCAAAAATATTTTGAGCTACTCTATTTTTCAACTGTAAAAAGCCAATATTATTAAATTCAGCATGTACATGCAAGAAGAAGGATCTATGAAATATATATTCCCAAACATTCTGAATCAGCCTTTTGGTTTAGCGTATCACAATGGTGAAAAACTAGTGTGAATTGAGACTGCTAATATGTTTCACATCTCAGTAATGTATAAGAGACAATTAAGCCAAGCACTTGTACTATAAAAGCAACCCATCAGTACACTATGTAACATATTAGAAGCTAATGATTTTAAAAGATTAGGAAGTAACACATTGAAAATCTGTGAATAGAAAAGTTCCTCAAATGAAATGTTTCTCAGGATTAATGTAGCAAAAGGGAATAAAGGACAGATCAGTTACGTTCTGTAGTCAAGACAGTCTAAAAACTAATTAATTTGATAAGCATTGCCAGGAAACTCTGCATTGGTCACTATTTAACTCCCTGTCTCATCTTCCTTTAAAGCGAGAGTAAAGATTTGGCAACTTTAAGGCTTGTGGATTTCAACTCCCAAAATTCCCCAGCCAGCTGCCTGGGGAATTCTGGGAGTTGAAGTCCACAAGTCTTACAGTGGCCATGGCTGGGCACTGCTGCTTTAAAGACTTGTTTAAGTAGTGAAAATTAGCATGCTTCAAAGTACTTTATTCATGGCCTTTATTGAATATCTGCAGATGGGGGAAGGCTGAGCTTAAGAGTGGGGAGGCAAGGAACAGTTTCACCATATGGTTTGATTTAAGACCACAAAGCAATAAATAAATATCACCCTTTTTATTTTATTTTTGTTAAATGCATTTTATTGGCCAGGTCCAGTGAGAAAGACTTTTGGGTAAAACCCTCTAAAAATCACAAAGGGCACAGGTCAAATACAGCTAAAAAAATGTTGGATCCCATTCTGGGATATTTAAAATATTTTAAAAACAAGAAAGCGGAAGTAATGCCACCTCTACAAAAAAGGTGTTTTATACACATACACACACATTTTATGTTTGTTGGAAGAAATATGCTTCTGGGTTCAGTTCCAAGTGGGGAAAAAGACACTGGAAACTTGGAGGCTGTTTGGAAAGATGCTTTAATGGTGGACAAAACCACATGGCTTGGAGCTCCAAAGAAGGGAGGATGATCACACATTTCAAGGTGAAGGAAGAGATCAAGGAGGAGTAGGGCTGAAAATGCCTGGTTTTTATACCCTCTGTTGGGATTTGAATTTGAGCTTGTATTCTGATTGGCTGTCAGACTCCCATGGGGCCATTCAGGGGCAACTTTGTAGGCTGTCCTGAGTTCCAGGCTTGGTTGAGCCTTGCTGGATGATGATGTAATGAAAGGACTTTTGGCAATTCCTATAGCTCTACCTGCAGATCTTTGTTATGTAAAATGTTCTGTCCCAGGCCTTAATGGCCCACCCATTAACAAAGGTGGGGGGTGAGTTCTGCTTCTGAGTTTCTACTCTTTTTAGAGGAAATATTCTGCTTTTTTATTATTTCCTAGGATATTTCGTTTTTCTAGGAGAGGGGTGGGTTTTAACTTCCAACAGTTTTCAACTACTTTTAAGTAGGCAATTCATTTAAGGTGTAAAAATAAACATTGTCAGCAAAAACCAATGAAATTCTTATTTAGAATGCCTAGGATAAAAATATGCTTTTTAAAATACAGCTTTTGAATAGCAAAAACTATTCCTGATCATTTCCCCCCCCCCTCCCGTCGGTTTCCTCAGGAAGCCTTCCCTTTCCATTATATGTCTTTTAAGTTTTGTTTATCTCATAATTTTTAATCTGCTCTTAGCCTCCCCGAGTCGCATTTGCGAGAGGGACGGCCCTACGAACGACGAGACGCAGGAACATTTTCCAAAGGCAGATGGAAGGAAGGGAAAGCTCCCCAAAACACCGAAATAAAACCAAAGTACAGGGTCTCGCGAGAATCACCCGAGAAGGGCGGGTTCTCGACCGACAGCCCCAGCTGTGTATCCGCTGGGCGGTTGACATAGAAACCCAGGTAGCCAAGCGAACCTGGGCTCTTAGGGACGCGCCCGGGCTGGGTTATTCTACGGGTCGTCCCAACGCCGAAGCAAAACAGCCCCGGTCTTCGCGCGCTGTCGGTCCGCGGGAGCATGAGAAGCGCTGGCAGTTCCCGTGCGGGCTCTGCCTGCTCCAGGCTCATCGACGTGACCAGCAACGCACCGTTGCTGCGCTCGCCCGCCAGCGTCTCAGCCTCTTCCGAAGCGGAGGTATGCTCCTCAGGCTTGCATTCCCTACTATAATACCCACATCTGCGGCGTGCCTGGAAGTCGAGCCGGGGCCGACTGGTTTCTTTTCTTGTGGGTTCGAAATACGCAGCGAAACGTTTCGAACCCATAAGGAAAAGAAGAAAAAAAAAGAAGTCAACTCAACTTCCCGACAGCTCTTACGTGGATGACTGAGAATCTTCAGGAAACATCTGCCATGCAGTTTCCCCGAATGGTTTTTTTTTTTATGTTCATTGGGGTCGCCCCCCCCCCCCCCCCCCGCACTGGTTAATTCTTCCTGGTGTAGCCATGGTGTTGCATCGAGCAGCGCAAGGCTGCTCAGTAGCAATAGCGCTTACCACTTGTATACCGCTTCACAGTGCTTTTTTTACAGCGCTTTGCGGAGTCAGCAGATTGCCCCCAACACCTTCTTGATCTCTCTCCCCCGTCAACCCAGCCAAAAAAACAATAACAAAAGTTCTAGATTTTGATTTGCCACTCAGAAGCCTGAAATCGAGCTGGTGTCCCTTTTCCTCCTTACCCTTTTTTGGAAACTGGAGAGGGGAAAAACATGAATCTGAGGGGTGAATCGGTTTGTAAAATGTATATATATATCCCACATTTTTGTTGAGATACAAAGTAGCACATGGCTTATTTCCCAGATTTTAGGGGCTAAGAAGATCGGTACAGTGTAGCGGTTGTTTTTTGTTTTTTTGTTTTTAAAAGAAAACTTCTGGAGAAAGTAACCATTGCATCAAAGTCCGACTTAGTTTATATTTTTTACCATTAGACAATTACCTCTTCATGATAGATCTTAACTGCTACAGACACAACTAGCGCTAATCAATCATGTCAGAATGATAGAACATGGTTATATAAACAGCCTTTTACAAAAAGCTACACCATTCAGCAGAAGAGGGGATGTCTCACCTACTGAAATTCTTCAACATAATAAAAAAGGTTGACATCTAGTTAATATTGGAATTCATGCCTAGCTTAGAGGCTTCCCTGGATAATGTGTGCCTGGAAAAGAGAGTTATGTTGAACATGTTGTGTTGAACCTAAGTTCCATCATCCATTATCCATGATGACTAGTGGATCATAGGAGTTGCAGTCTGACACGTTAGAAGGGTAACCATATTAAGAAGACTGCTTTAGCCAATAAATGGATTCGGAGGGAGAATATTTTCACATATAGTGATAATTATCTAACTTGGTCTACTGCTCTATGACAATAAATATCCATAGAGCTAGTTCAGTGTTGCATGGGACTCAATACAACAGCATGATTTTTCTTCTTCTTTGAAATCTATGGAAGGTGTTGCAATGCCAGGCTGTATTTTACCGATTTACACATTGTAAATCATGACACATTTTCATGGGACTTTTAAGTCTTCCATCCACATTTCTCTGTCTTGGGAAGAAACCTGTGTACACTTTATGATTACTTATGCCTTGCCAAACCTATAAGAATTTTCCCAATCCCTTCCAACTTTAAGGAATAGTTAATCTTAGCTTTCTTTGATTTGTTGAACTTTTTGATCTTTTCTTAATCATCTCATGGCTCAAGAAGTTTCTCAGTATTGGCAGCTCCCAGGAAAATAATGTTACTCAGATCTAAGCATATTTCCCAAATTTCAATCTGTAGACTCAGAGTGTTTTTTTTCAGAAATTCCTGGCATCATATCAAGAATTAAAAACTATGTGCTTCATGTTAATTTTAAATGTTAGTATGTACAATCATGTCATATATGTTCTTCAAATAAAAAATATATACTTAAAAAGTGAGGTTGCCCAATAATAAATCAGATTCTACATTGAAAGACTTTGGAGGGTGGGCAAGATATCAAGGTTTATTTCAGTCAAAAACCAGTTTATGTTATTTAAGGTATCCAGCAGCCAACAAATACAAAGTGAGTGGGAAGTCAATGAAAATATCAGTTATATTCTAAAAAATATATAAAGCGGGGTTGGACTCTATTGCTGGCAAATAATGATGTAATATTTGAAATAATTGGTCCCATCCAAACATAGCTTTGAGTTAATACGAAAACCTTTAGCATGTAACTTATGTATTTATTATTATTGTAAAGATTTACATACTACAAGTTTTATATTGCATCTCCAGATTGTATCAGCTGCTATGTGAGGAAATAATGTAAGTGTATTAAATTTATAAGCTGCTCAACTCCATTATATGACTCTGGGCAGCATGCAGCATTTATACAATATTTAAAATAAAAAGTTTTGTTTTATTTATGTATTCGCTTATCCTTCCTTTATTACTTTATAAGGTGCCAAGCAATCCTAATTCTCCTTTCTCCTCCTATTTTCCCCACAACAACAATCCCGTGACATGAATTGGGCTGAGAAAAAGTGACTGGCCCAAAGTCACTAAGCTGGCTTTCATGCTTAAGACAAGGCTAGAACTCACAGTTTGCTGGTTTCTGGCATGGTGCCTTAACCAGTGGACCAACTAGCTCTTTGTTACAATTACTCTCAAATCATTTTATTTTTTATTTTTCCTTGTCATATTAAAAATATTATCGTAATCAATTTTGGAAGCCTGTGAACTAAATCCAGGGCACTCAGAGGCCAAGCATGGCCCTAGCACCTGTATTTCTAGCTTAGGGGCTAGCCGCTGTATTATCCATCCATAAGAAGGAATGAGGAAGCTGTCCCAAATGTGCTTTTCCAAAAGGCAACTGGACTTTCTTGGTTTTTTTTTTTCTTTTGAAAAAATTTCAGTTCTCATCCAAGAAGCTTTTTCAGTTTTGAAGTGAAGAAGCTTCTTGGATGAGAACTAAAATACTTTCAAAGAAAAAACAAAGAAAGTTAAGTTGTCTTTTAGAAAAGCACCTTTCGGACAACTATGACCTGGATAATGGAGAATCTCCATAGAACAAGGAAGTTGATTAGTTACTTTTTAGTATAATTTGCTTCATTTAAGTTTCAATAATTTAGATAATGTCACTCCCAAATTCTATGCTCTCCAACCATGGGACCTTTGGACATAATGATTGGGGATTTCTGGGAGATGTGGCCCAAAGTATCGAGCAACACAAGGTTGGGGAAAACTGTTCTAATGGAAGTATTAGAAATAATTAAATTACTTACATTGTTCCTTAATGTTTCATTGTACATCAATACTTTTAGGTTAAACATTTACTTCATAGGACACTATTTCAACAGCTGTGATACTTTGCATAATGCCCTAACAATTATAGTTTCAATTATATGTCGGTACAGTTTTATCTTTCGACATTCAAGGACTGAGCTGTTTCTTATTAAACATAGCAAAGGGAGTACATTTATCTAAGATTTCTGGTTTTCTGCTCTTTATCTTTCTCTCACTCATGCTTTGATCTAAAGTTCAGAGAAACAGAGGAAGATTTTTGCATAGCTTTCTCATGGGATCCTTCCAGGTCAGGGACCTAAAATTAGGATGTTAAATGTAGGATAATGCATCCACTACTTGCAAATACAACTTCTATATAGATCTGAAAAAAAGTGGGGGTAGGGATAGCCAACATAGTTGAAAAGTTGCATTTTTCTCTATTTTTCTAAAAAAAAAAGGACCTTGTGAACATGTTGAATGTTGATAATAAAAGTGGTAACTTCCGTATTTTAAAAATAGTATACCAGATATAGAAATGTGTTTTTTTTTATAAACTTATTTCAGTTTATGAAGGCATTGAACAACTCCCACTGATTATATGCGACTTAGCTTATATTATGGTGCCACAGGCTCAGCATAGAATTCCTAATTGCCTATGGAGGAATGCTGTGGAAGACGATTAGGAATTCTGGCATTGAAAGTTGTACAATAAAGCAGTTAATATGGATAATGTTTATAAGACTAGGTAATGCTTAGATGATGGCCTACAGTTTTTTGGGGGAAAACTTGCTGGCTGTTTCATCCATCACCCAACAATATAGCTCAGTGTTTCTCAGTTCTGCAACTTGAAGCTGTGTGGAATTCAGAATGATGGCTGGAGAATTCTGGGTTGAAGTCCACCCAGTTTCAATTTGCTGAAGTTGAGGTACACCAATGTAACTTATTTAATTTCCTTAGTGCACTTTTAAGTTTTAACAGAATGTTAAACAGAAACTCAATTTGCATCCAACAAAGTATTCTCTTTTGTTATAAGCAATATTAGGCAAAATGCAGAAAAGGAATAATAAATATTAACCTGGAGAAATTGAAGGCATGAGGTAAGAAAATGAAATATGGTTAAATCTGGTTTATCCTAACCACATTCATTTTATCTCTCCATAGCTTTCTGTCCCTACACACTATATACTGTTTTCATTCATTGACTTTTGTTCTTCAAAAAAGAAAAACATTCAGCAAAGAGGATTTTGCCTAGAGCTAAACATGGAAGGAATCTCATTAGTTGAAATAACATTTCTTATTTTTAACAATTTTTTTTTTTGCTTTTTGGAATTGTATTATCTGATGTGATGCCTTCATTATCAGCACTGCCATCAAAACTAAGGACTGTATGATTGTTTATTGTAAGACTCTTGAAGGCATAGGAACCAAAACCAAAAAAACATCCTGGAATCATTTCTAATCCTCAACTTACAACAATTCATTTCATGACCGTTCCAAGTTACAATGATGCTCAAAAAGTGACTTATGACCATTTTTCACACTTACCACCATTGCAGCATCCCCACAATTGCATGATTAAAATTCAGATGCTTGCCAACTGACTCATATTTACAATAGTTGCAGTAACCCAGGATCATGCAATCATCTTTTGTGACCTTCTGACAAGCAATATCAATGGGGAAGCCTGATCCACTTAACAATCACGTCTCTAACTTAGCAATTGCAGTGATTCACTTAATAACTTTGGCAAGAAAGGTTGTAAAATGTGGCAAAACTCACTTAACAATAGTTTTGCTTAGTAAATTTTTCCCCAAACATCATATCTTGAAGCTCACTTTGGGGAAAAAATGCGAAAGAAAAACATAGAATTCTTTTCTTTATTGATTTCTTATGACCCAGAGACCACTTGTAGTCTGCAGTCAAACTACCATAGATGATCATCTCTAATGTCAAAATCTGGACACAAAGATACTTTTTATACGACCAGAATCTTAATTGATTGCCAACTTTTCACAGGAGTTTAGAAGTCTTGTCCAAAGTCTTACAAAACTCAGATGGGAATCTCAATGTCCCTTTTGATCTGATAACCTTGCAAGGTTTGGATCATTAAATTCAATGATGTTTTTGTTTCTTTAAAAGATATCATATCCAGCAAAAGGAAAAGTGCCTTATCTCAAAAGGACACATGTACCAAATTGTCTTTTGCTGTTATGGTTTGGCTTGTGTGATGGTCCTTAAAAACTCTAGCGGACCCTATTTTTTTTTAAAAAAGTAAATGATCTACCAAAACAGACTTTGTTTCAGCCTAAACCATATTTTTGTTGTTGGCTCAAAAATGATGTACAAATCTATATTAGGAGGTGAAGTGGAAGGGAACTATGTTTTAAAGAGTACAAAAGGGACATATTAAGCACAGTGGGTAAAGAAGTATTAGGGAAGATTTAAAGCTGTATGCAAAATGTATATGTTATGAAAAACTATGTGAACCAAATTTCTGAAGCAGAGTTCTCTAACCTTTCCAGCTTTGCTGACTGGAGGGAAGGGAGGGGAGATCAGCATGAGTGGTGGGCAAGCACCCATGCATGCAGTTCCATTTGTGCAAGTGGCGGGCACATGTGTGCACAAGTAGAGTTGCGCGCACATGCTCATCCACAGCTTCTGTGGCCCAGGTCCAAGTAGACCACAGCTTGGGGGATTGGGGACCCTATTTTAAAGAATTTATATTTCTTTAGAAAAAAAAAGACAGAACAGTAATACATGTAGCACTGATACAGGGTTGCATTCATCAGCACATATTATAGCAGTAATGGTAGTGATTTTATTCATTAAATCATAACTAAATGGATAGATATAGAATAAAATCGCAATACAAATTGTACTGATAATTTAAAGGTTTCTTTTAAAAAATTAAAACTTTCAGTGCTATACAAGCATTAAATATTCTCAGGTATATCATTTTCTAAAGCCTCAGCGTATTGTTTAAACAAAATTTGTTTAATTTGATGTACATTTTAAAAATATGCATATTTAGTGATATATTTTTTTTCTGTTACTTTTTCATGCTGTTTTAAAACAATTGGGGATTTTTATTTATAGTGAAGGAATGACCAGAGATGCTGAATACTTTAAACAGCAGGTGGCACAATGACCAACCAAAGGAGAGATCGGGGTTATGCTTCTAATACAATCTTCTATCCTGCCTTAAAAAACGATAGAACAGGATGGAAACCAAGGCAGAGTATTGAACAATATACAAGCATGTGCTTCAAACAGCGGTTTGAATGAATTACTTACGAACAGAACTGAAATTTGATTTAAGCTCCTTCTTATAATGGATAGAAAAATGCCACAATTCTTTCAAACAAAACCATACTTCTTAGGTAGTTTACATGTGAATGGATGTAATTGTTACAGCAACAGTAGTCTTTCCTCTTTGGCCCTCAGCAATATGACTAGTTTCCTGTAATTAAGGAGGGATCAGGGAAATGGTGATCACAGCTTTGTGTTACCTGGAAGATTTATATACCTAAAGGTACAAGGTATACACCTTGGTAATTTCAATTCAATGGAATTGAAACCATTTCTTCAATGCTCCTTCCTAAAAACCCATTCCAATCAAAATTCAAGCAATGTCTATTCAGTAACATTTGCACAATCTATCCTTGTCAGGAAAAACTAGCATTGCATTTGGACTGACTAAAAGGCTAATTGCCCCATTGAATCCTGGCTATGGAGGGTGGGTGATGCTACTAATTTTCCAACTTCTACCGCTAGGATATTTAAAAAGCTGCATTCCCAACTCAGGAACAACAAATATTATAGTGAAAAGTTAAATTCCCAGCTTTGCCCTGAAGTTTTTGTACGATTTGAAGAGCACTTAAAGATGAATCCTCCCCAACCTCATCTCTCTGCATTCAGTCAGAGTTGCACTGTGTATGCTTTATTGTTAAGGTTAAATGAATAAATAAATCAAATTCTCCTCTGAAAACATTTAAAGCTAAATGTTAGACAAATAGACAGTGTAACAGCTGGGCAGACATCATGTTAAAAATTCATTTAGAAGACACAATGTTGTTTCTTCTCACTTACCTCTTTTAATAAATCCTTGCTTTATTTGAGGTAATTGGGCTTTCTGGGATAAGTGCTGCCAGCTGTTCTCGGAATAGAAACAATATTCGGGATTTTGACGCTGAAGAGTAAAGTGGGAGAACAGTACACACATTGAAATACTAGCCAAAACCCTGATTGCAATCAGCATAAAAAAGATCAGTCCGAGCACATATGTTGTGTATTTTGAAGTATAAGTTAATTTCCATATGTTCCATTGCAGTTGAAAAAATAAAGCATGTATTTCTTTTCACTTAATAACTGTTGAACAGTCATAAGTAACCAAAGCAGCAATAATAATCTGTGTTTTAGTTTTATGTTGCATTCGATTTGTGACTCACTCCTAGAAACAGGGCAGTCATTTAAATTAGTGATGCAGTATTTCTGATTCAAAGGGGGGGAAAAAAGGTGCAACTACTCTAATGAATATCAGGTTCTCCATAAGCTTCTCTGTACACTCCAGAACATCTTTTTCTCTTCAGATCTGAAGCATTGCATAGCCCTAATATAAGTAATAGTAATAAGAAATAAAGCTCAGAAGCAGGCAATTCTGATTGGAACATACCTTTTATATATTGCTCTAAAATAATTCTTCCAACCTTAGTGATTACCAGAGCTGTGAATATTGATATATTCACTTCTGAAGAATATTAAACATTAAGCTGTACTCTAATCAAACTTCCCCTCTTGCAGTCAATATTGAAAATAGTGAACAGGAATTCTGATTAATGATACTAGAAAGAAAGAACAAGTTAATAATACTTCAAGGGAATACTTTCAAATAAGGCAGATGTGCATAGACGACATTTAAGAAAGCAAACTCTAGCCCAGTTCTTCAGACAGTACAGCACAGCCATCTTGGGGCTCCACCTGACCCCAACTTTGAGAACTGACCTCCATGTCAGCAGTATAAGAACTAATCTCCACAATTAAGCCAATGAAGCATCATTTGAGATGGATGCATAAGCAGTGGTAATTTCTTCAGTGTTTAAAAACTATGCAAAGTGACAAGTGAAGAAGTAACAATAGTTTTAGCTAGATTATAGATGACTTCCTTTTATGTTTATCTATGTTTTAATGTTGGATGCAGCAGTTGGAAGAATCAGAGATTGCTAGTGTTAGCCCAGGACTGATGAGGTTCAGGCTCAAATCTCTACTCAGCTGGAAATGAAGTGGGAAATTGTTACCTCTCAGCTTACCTTATTTACAGTATCCCAGTCTTTTCTGTAGAAAGCTTCAGTTTGCTTGTCTTCAGACACCTACTCAAGTTTTCTACCACCTGTATGAGAGTACTTGAAGGAAAAAGAGGAAAAAAGAGATTGTGTGCCCTAACCACGGATCATCAGCTCAAATTCCAGAGGTTCATATAGATTTCAGTGCTGGGATCCTGAAGCATCTTACATTTTATTGGCCATGAAGAAAACAGAAGTCTTCCATACAATGTGGACTGTAGTACAGATGAGAACCATGGCCATCCCACTGTAGAATTATTAGAAAAAAAATATTAGCCAAGAATATAAAAGTTAATAAACATCCAAATAAATTAAATCCATTGCACTCCATTGTCTTGTGCAAGTTATCTTCTAAGGCAGTTTCCATTCCGCATCCAGACTGGAATGAAGATCGGGTTTAAAGTTATCCACATTTAAAACTAAACTGATTTAAAACAATCCCTTTTTAAAGAACTGAGCAAAGCAATAGAAGAAGAATTCTGATTGTTTGCCATTAACCCTTGTTTTGTTTTGTTTTTTTTGTAAAGCAGAGAACTCATAATTATTTGCTACTGGATGTTCCTGACACTCGAGAACAGCTAGTCCATTATCGGAATGCAGCAGAAACAGCCAGCAGTGAGCTGGCTGCACTCCTAGTGAAGTATGAATGCGCTCAAGCAGAGGTATGTTTTTAAACCCTCATGAAAATATTTGTAAATAACAGAATACGTTTATGGCATGGTACATACCCTTAAATGTTTAACTAAAGCTCTCTTCTTTGGTACACTGCTTATTCATTTTAGCTATTGCATCCTGCCTACAGTATGTTTAGAAGTTTTTTTTAACTTTCAAATTTTCAGGCAGGCATTCTAGAATCATAGATTTGTGAGAATCCAAGAGGTCAATGTTGTAGATTGAGCAATGAGAGGCTAGACCAGGGCATGGATGCAACAAGACTTTATTTAAGAAATAAAGGACTGAACGTGTTAGCCCTGCCTGGAGCAGGCTCACAGCGAACAGCGGCTGACCGAACCCTGCAGCTGGCTTTTATAGCCGGCCATCGAGGGAAGCCAGCCAATGAGGGGCAGCAAACGCCCCCGCAGCATGAACGGACCTGGGTGGGAACTTTGGCAAGTTCCAGGGACATAACAGTCAACTAATCCATTCCCCTACTTGGCACAGGATCTTTTAAAATATTTTTGGGCAAGTGACTGTTCAGCCTTTCTCTATTCATCCTCCCTCCAGTGAAAGGGGTTGTACCACTTCATGAGGCAACCTATTCCACAATTTCTTAGTGTCAGGAAGACCTTAGTAACCAGCCTGGATCTACTTCTCTTATAGTCTTAAACCATTGGTTATAGATCTATCCTCCTCCTTTTATGTGACAACCTTTTACAGACATGATATTCTTCCGACTAAAATCGGAATTCCGATTTTTGGGGGGAATCAGCCCCGCCCCACCCTTCCCCCCTTTCTTTTCCTCCTTCCCCTCCCCTTGGAGGCCCCCTGAGTCAGGAGTTGCTACTGCCCGGCACGGCTCCACACGGCTCCAGTCCCGCATTGCCTCAGGAAGGGAAAGGCAAAAAGGAAGAGCCACGGCGGCGCTTTGCAAAGAGGACCGGCGAAGGCGAAGCAGTTTTGCAAACGATTCCTGGCCACCCGGATGTAAATAAACGGGTTTTGCCCAGGAAGCCCATTCTCACGAGTTTAAAAGGCTCATGTAATAATACGCCTTTCTCTCTCCCCGCCCAACGGGACGCGCTTCAATGACTCCTTGGGCTGCTCTCGCTCTTTCAAAAGTGTGAGGCAGGAGTCAGTTGCAGGAAAAACCGAGCCAAGGAGCGGGAACACAAGTCGCAACTGCAAGGCTAGTGGCAGGCGGAGTGGGGGGGGGGAAGACTATTATTCCTGTTATTCTCGTGCTGTGGGGATAGTGAGCGTGTGTTTGAGTGGGTGTTTTGTGTGTGTGGGTTTGAGCGTGCGCTGATGCCAGGCGAGAGCTGCCTTTGGGGTTATAGAGCCGCCGCCTCTCGCCGAACTACCTGCTCTGGATGCAAAAAAAGTTCTTGTTGGGGAGGAAAGTGGACCCACGTCACGCCCCGGGTCTCTTCTCCTGCCCCTCCCCCCCAGCTGCCAGGTGCCCGCGCAATCAGCCTGGAGGAGCCCTGCCACCTTTAGCCCGCAGCTCAGAGGATCTTATGCAGGGGGGCGAGGAAGAGCCCAAAAGCACCAGCTGAGGCTTCCGTGCAGGGAGGGGTCACTGGGGAAGATCTGGAGGGTAGGTGGGGGGGGGAGAAGAAAGAGAGAAGGGGGTGTGTTAGTTGAGGTCAGGGCGGGGAGCTGATCGGGTGCTTAGCAGGTGCTTAGGCAACCCCTGCACCCCTGGCTACTTTTCAGATTTTTTTTTCAGAGGGGAATATCATGCCTGCTTTTAGATATTTGAAGACTTTCCTTCTCTCCCCTTGTCCTGTTCTGCAGGCTAAAAAAAAGGTCTAGTTCCACAGGAATGGGTTTTTAATTCCTTCACCATCTTGTTTGCTCCTTTCTCAACCTGCTCCAGTTTGTCCATAACCCTTTTAGATGTTGCAGATCCCAAAATTGGACACATTCCACGTGGAGTCAGCATAGACTAGAGTGGGACAGCTACTGCTTGTTCCTCTATCATAATAGTCCACTGATTTCCTCCTTTTCATAAGAGTTTGAATTTTACTTGCGTAACACTCAGAAATATTTTGCAAGTTCCTAATCTGTGAAGTTTATAGTTCCTTTCCCTTCTTTGCTTCTTATATATCTTTTATAAACTGCTTCAACAGTGAGATGGGCATATATATTTAATAAATAAAAGTCTACCATGAGCTTCTTCCAATGGCAGATTTGCAATGGCTCTTTCTTTGGTACATAACCAGTACTTAACGAAAAAAACTGACAAAGTGTTTCAGCAGGTGCCACCAACATGTTTTCCTACTAATAAAGCATACCGCTTAACAAGGGTTGCATGTTAGGATTGTTTTATTTACATGGTTTTACTAAATAAGTGTTTTAGGACACCAGGTACATTTTTTTAAATGTACAGCTATGATTGTTTGATTTTAAAAATGAATGGGATGATCCCAAAATCTTGTGGGTAGAACCAAATTAATATTATCTGTGTTTACATGTGTGAGTAGATATTCTACTTAGAATATTTCTGAGATTTCTGGCTAGACAGAAAGATATCCCGATCTGAAAAAAGTATAGGAACGTTAAGCAGCAGCCATTAAAACAGTATTTTAAAGCATTCACAGAAACGAATTCAGCATTCTCTGTTATCAACTTAAAACAAGTTTCCAGTCCTTCAAACTAAACCAAGAGCTTTACAGTATAACTGTGACATCTGAGCTGGCCCTTACTTTCAGATATATTTGTTCTGGTTTGGATAGTTAGTACAGTTTCAGCAGTGACTCTTTTTCCCTTTGGTTCTTTTCTGATAGACAAACCTTGTAATGTTCTTGTGCCACAGCCCAATTTTATGCAAGTAATGTCTTCACAACTTCTCTTAGCCTTATACCTAGATACATGGAACTGTAGCCAAACAGAGGGACACATTAATATGTCCATCATGTTGAGGAGTGGAATCCTAACCACCACAAAAGTAATACTGCATAAGAAAAGAGTTCTGAAGTTTCTTAAAGAGACGATTTCTGAAAAAACAAGTGCTGCCAAGGGTTGGTTCATTGTCTAGGTTTTTTGTTGTTTGGATGATTTTTGTTTGTGGGAATATATTGAACATTATACTAATTCCTAGATTTACTGCATGAGTCATTAATTGGGAATTATGTATGCAGTTGTTCTTGCCAGACTCTTAATTTATTTAATTAATGTGACAGTCAAAAGCAATTCTCTTCTTTATTTCATTCTGTTAATAGCTCCCAAAATTTCAACATAAGGCAAATGTTTATCATTTGTTTTCAAGCTTTTAAATCTCCCACTTTTGCCAACGTTATTGATTTCTGTAAACAATATATTCATTTATTGCCCAGAATAATGTTTAATTGCTTATGAGTTTGTTTTATCTTTGTTTGAAGTCCCCTTTTTCAATCCACTTCTGAACTGCACTTTGTTCAATAATAATCATTTATATATTTAATTCATTTTAATTATACTTTCTGCAAACAATTCTTATCACTAATTCTTGCCCCTGATCCAGACACTGTAACAAGAGGTAATTCTCAACTCATGACCATTAGTTCAGCAACTATTTGAAGTTTCAAATGCACTGAAAAAAAAACAATTTATGACTAGGGTCCCGGCATCAAGGCTTTTGCAGCATCCTTACAGTCATGCAATCACCTTTGCCCATTTGATCATCTGCATTCTGTGGCCTTTCCCACCATAGTTGACCTTTGTGGTCTACTTGCTCCAACTGCTGACCAAGAAATCCGAGCCTGTTACCTTTTGCAAGGCATTTGCCAGCTGGATGAGATTTTCTTCTCAGGGTCTCTGTTTGTGGTTTCCTTGTGAGACCCGGAGAAGATGGCCTCATGTGGCGCCTGCCATTCTCCAAATAGCGTATCCCATTCTTGTGATGCTTTGAAAGACTTCAGAAGCTTTCCAAATGTTTTCTGAAGGACCACAAGAATGTCGTGTGACAGAATCTTTGGAGTGCAGGGCAATAGGATAGCTGGGGTTTTGTACTGTGGCGCTGGAGTGGCTGGTCATGGTGTGATGACACTCCTCAGCAGTGGTGCTAGCTGCACTGCGACTAAAGTAGAGGTGTAAAGTGGAGAACAATTTGCTTTTACCTACTTCCCAAAAGTTAACAATAGCTTTCTTTCTCTTCCTGATTCTTACCTATCTTTAATTTTTTAACGAATTGGTTTACCACCCATTCCCAAAGTTTCTAATGATTAACAATAAAAAAATATATTAAAAGAATCATTCCAACAAAAAACCCACTCTCCCCAGTTACAATAAATTCTATCAACCATGGGGGGAAAAATGAAATCCTACGTGCTCCAATGCGTTCTGGCATTCATAATATCAATGGTAGGATTCAAACATTTTTACGACCGGTTCTGTGGGTGTGGCTTGGTGGGCATACCGTGGCTTGGTGGGCATGGCAGGAGAAGAATATTGTAAAATCTCCATTCCCACCCCACCCCACTCCAAGGGAAGGATACTGTAATATCTCCATTCCTTCCCCACTCCTGGGGGAAGGTTACTGCCTCCCCACCCCACTAACCTGCTTTCCAGCTCCATTCTCCTGTGCAGGGCAACAAAAGAAGACTCAGCTGATCATCTGGGACTCAGGAGGCAGAGAGTAGATGGGGGCGGGGCCAGTCAGAGGTGGTATTTGCTGGTTCTCTGATCTACTCAAAATTTCCACTACCGGTTTTCCAGAACTGGTCAGAACCTGCTGAATAACACCTCTGCATAATATGCTTTTCTTCGGACATGGATTTTGTGGGAGCTTTGAGAATGTGAGTCCTGAAAAAGATTTGAGTAGATTCACAAGAAAAGATAGCTCATATAACTTACTTTTCCACTGAGGTTTCTATCAGAATCTGTCTAATATGAAGAGCTACTTTTATAAGAAAATAGTTGTTCAGATTGCTTGTTCTTCTAATATGTATTATCTATTCAGCCAGATAGTTGTGCTCTTTAATCACATATGAAATATTTAAATTAAGTGGAAAATTCAGTTGCTTGAGTAATACATGGGATGCATGTATTGTAGTGCTAATCTGTCTTTGCAAGCAGGATACAGTCAAGTAATAACTTTAGCCCTGTTATATTTTATTTTCTATTTTCTATTTATAGATTCTAGATCTTAAATCCAAAATAGCCTCACAGGAAGTCGCTATACAAGAATTCAAAGCTGAAGTTGGGGGCTATAAGGAGAATGATGCTCGTCAATCTTCTCTCCTTTTTTCCATGCAACACAAATTCCAAGAACTTGAGAAGGAATCAGGCACAATTGCTATTTCCAAACATCAAGCGGAGCTAAAATCACAGGCTATTCTCCAAGAGAACTTGGAGCTAAAGGAGAAAATACACGAACAAGAAGAGCAGATCAGGTAAGAACTGCAGAAAACGCTAACTTTTCATGTAAAATAATTGCCACGGAGCAGAAGAAAACGGTACTTGTTAGGATTGTTAAGTGAGGATGGTGGGCTGAAATAGTTGAATTCTTTTTTATTAAAAACTAAGCACTAAGTTTCAATGTTTCTATTTTTTAAAAAAATAAATTGGAAATACATTGCGTGTGTGTGTGTGTGTGTGTGTGTGTGTGTGTAGAGGTTGGTAGGTAGGATGCTATTTGAAATTTCTTCTGAGAAAGTATTGTGTGTATTTTATATTTGTAACTCCTCAAGTCTTCAGAATCACACAAGAAAAATTTTAGTTAAATGAAACAAACTGAAACTTGAGTTTCAATCCAGGTCATAAAAACAAAAACCCAAAACCATTTGGATTTTCTTTGTTTCTCTGATGGCTGTGGGAGATATCTCATTACCGAGGAAAGGAAGTATTTTATTGTGATATAAAAGTCTTTCTTGAGGCACTGTATGTTGTGTCATGAGCACCTGTTTAGTATTAGTTACATTTCTGATGTAAGGTACAAGATTTAGGTTTTTATTTAACTTTATTTAACTTCTTTGGATCATGAATACTCTCCTATTGTCCTTCTTCTCAGGGTTTTTAAAATGGAAAATTTGGAACTATTTACAGTCATGAGAAACCTAGATGGAGGGGGCAAATAAAAAGGCATTTGAGAAGAGTAGGAAACTCCCATTTCATCATTGTTATGTTGAGGTCAGTATGTAACTGACTCCTCCTTGCAGTGGTTCAGTCTTTTCTCACACCTCATTAATTTGTGTGCTTGAGAATCCCACAGAGGGCATTTTAATTTTTTGGAATGACACCTGCCTCTGCAGCAGACTGTAGAGTCTATTCCACGGTGGCTGGGGAATTCTTGAAGTCAAAGTCCACACCTTAAAGTTGACATGTGTTTGGGAAATACTGCTCTAGCAATGCAATCTTGCCTCTCTGAAATTATCAAAATTATCCTGAATCCTTAGACCAGCCCAACCCATTGGAGAAAATTGTTGGCTCATGAACTTGTAAGAATAGCATTTGATTCTTTGATTCTTTCCTTTTTTAACTTAGTGTCCTCTTCTCTCTCTCTCTAACATATCCAGTTAGGGGGACTAAGTGTCTTACAAGGAGATAGTCTGATGGCCTACTCATTGTCTGTCGAATTAAAGATAGGGATTTGATTATGCTATGCAGAGAAACGATTCCAATCAAAGCAGCTGCTTTCATTCCTCAATGAAATGGGCAGTTATTTCAGCAGTAAACCCATAGAGGAAGTGATTTTCTCTTCCTGAACCTGGGCAAAGACAAAACTACTTTTATCCTCCCCTTCCCAGTCAGGGAAGTTATTGGATATGAAATCACACCTCGGTAATCCTTGCAGATCTGATTGCACATAGTGAGATCAGTAAAGGAAGCACATATAACACCGCTGTTGCATTGGCTACCAGTTTGCTTCCCAGTCCAATTCAAGGTGTTGGTTATTACCATTAAATCCTATATGGCATGGGTCCGTGTATCTGAGGAACCATCTACCCCAATGGGACTTGTCTGCCCCACATACATCAGCAGAAGAGGCCAACTACAGATCCCATCTGCTAAGGAATTCTGGCAGGCGGGGTCGGGGAGAAAAGCCTTTTCTGATGTGGCCCCATCCCTGTGGAACACTCTACTACCAGAGCTGAAAACTGCTCCCACCTTTTGGGCCTTCCAGAAGGGTATTAAAACTTGGTTTTGCTAATTGGCTTAAGGCTCTGGGGGGATGTTTACCACTGCAAGTGGTTGATAGGGTAAGAAGACCTCATCCCTGTGCTATCTGTCTCTTATTCCTGGTTTCTTTTGTATGATTTTAAATTTTATTATGATAAATTAAATCTGTGGGTCACCTAGAGACATAGGGGAGATTGGTGGCATAAAATGAAATAGATAGATGGATAGATGGATGGATGGATGGATGATAAAGATAGATAGATGACAGATAGATAGATACTATAGAATGATGGATGGATGGAGGGATGATAGATATGGGTATGTGTTCTTAAACATGAGAAAAGGGGTAGAAGTAATCAGTGATCAGTTCCAGGATGAAGGTCACACCAGAAGACCTATCAAGGATATAGTTGTCCGAGAAGATTCAGAGAAGTACAAGAGCCTTCTAGTAAATCTAAGTGTATTTCACACACCCTCCCCCAGAAAGGAAAAGAGGAGTCCAGGTTTTTCTTCTGAATCCAAAATAATTGTGGGTCTATTTTTCTTGTACACCTAGCAAGTCCAAAAGTCTGCCTCCAAAGAAATCTAAGGATGACCAGAAAAATACAAATCTGTAAAAAGTCAGGGATCCTCCTCTTCATTATTTTCATGCACAGGAGGTCTCATCAATTCTGATTTAAAATTGCATTGCAGTTTGGTGGCCATACAAGAGGAAGGAATCAACCTCTAACTAATCTTACCTTTTCCGTGCCATTTCTTTTGTAATTTTGCTGCATAGTCACAGTCCTTATGTGTGTCAAGCAAGCCTGAGCTGGGGGGGGGGAGGGGGGGAGGATCCATATGCTTAACCAAGAGTTAAGGAGGTTCCCTGGGGCAGTGAGATGTCCCTTTTCCTGGATCATTTGACAAAAGTGTTGAAACTGAACGGGCAATGCTTGCTCAAAACAAATTAATATATAGGCTGACTAACATGGTTTACTTCCTGTGTATAACAAAGTCATGGAGCTTTCAAGTTGTACTGGTAGATGTTCTGGAGTTGCTATTTCTTGCAGAAATCCATGCAAGCAAGATGAGGAAGTCCAAAACAGTTTCATTTAGGGTCTTTTAGACTTTAGGAATCTTCTGCTTTATGCAGAAAATTCAAGACTTCAAGGAGAGACTGTGTTGGATCAACTTCAAATGGGCTTATGTATGGGCAAAAAAATCTACAAGCCTGCAGCCTAAACCAGTGTGCTCACAAATATTTCTTATGCAAAATCCCTTAAGGTTGATTCTTTGAAATTATTTAATTTGCCAAAATGGCTGCTAACACTCTGACCAGAAGTTGTGTTTGGCTGAGGAACTGTGAAATAAACCCATATTTATAGACTAGATTAGCAAATGCTTCCTTTATGGAAACTTTTCAGTGAGTTTTTGAATATAGTGCACATTGAGGCAACAGCTTGTTGAGGCTGTACTCCCATCCAGAATATAGAATTACAAGTCCAGATTCTTTCAAACTGTTAATTCCTTATGGGATCAAACATCTGGATAATTCTAGAACAAGGCGAAATTCAAGAATTATAGTCAAAGCCTCTCCTTGTCCTCTGCTTATGTTTTGAAATGCACTAAGATATACAACTCTGTATGATGCCAAAGCAGTCCATGGAGCAATAAACAACTTTCTCCTAGACTTTGCACACATTTAGCTGCAAATAATTTGAAATCAGTGGGTAGAAGATACAAATGGAAAGGGGCATTCACTGGAATTTGTTCTCCAGCTGCCAGACTTCTCCCATCAAGTTTCTGGAGTAAATCACAGATCTCTGCTACTTGATTTGGCAGATGGTTCACAAACATGGCTTATTTAGATAAGAATTATTACTGCAGACAAGAGCTGAGCCAAGTAAAAATACTTGATTGTCTACCGTCAGTTTGCCAGTTCCCCTGGTATTTATGAAAGTTGAAATCCTTAGTTCTTTTCTCCCCATAAATTAGTGGACCCTTGGGACAATGCTTGGTGGCCTTGAAGCTGCCAGTTGTGTTTATAACTGATGTAAGAACTCCTGGCTCTTGGCTTGACACTCTATCATCTTGCCTTCCATTTCTTTCTTCCTGTCTCAAAACATGTCTGGGAATACTTGGTGCTTGTTCCCTCTCCAACTTCAGCCAGCCAGAATGGAGTGTTGTCTCCCTCCTTGTCACCATGGCCTAATTGTGAAAACCTCAACACTTTCAACATTCTCTATCCAACATGTTTGGGTGTTGCTTTCCCTGTTTCCCTTCTCAATTATATAAACTTTCTCCTCTCCCTGTCGCCCTTGCGCCAGAAGTTCTAGGAGCTGTAAAAACATCATGGCATGGACATTCCAGTTTCTTGGATTTGTGAAAATACCTCGAATGGAACTGCCAACAGATGTTAAGCCATATTGTAGCAGCACTGTTCTTGTTTTGGGTGTATCATGTTTCTAGTGGACATTTGATAAAAACAGGATCACCAACATGGTTGCCAACGTCTGATGACGAATATAGCACAACAAGAAGAAGACTGTTCCTGTGGTGAAGGACAAGCAGGGGCTCCATGATCCTGAATACGTTGTCCATTATGACCCATCTCAGCAGAAAACTTTGTCTTACACCTGCCCAGGCTATTTCAGCTGCGAGACTCTGGAAGCAGGAAGATAGATTCCTAGATTCACCAATTATTTATACTTCGTAACAAGGCTTGTATTGATAACCTTCCAAATCAACATAGCCTTTTCCTTAGGAACAAGAAGTAGAAGAGAAGAAGAAGTTCAACCCATCAGCCAGCTGTACATTCTTCTTGCTTGAGGGAAGAGTTACTGAATCTCTTCAGGCCAGATGGACTTTTAGTTTATTTAAACCACAGGATTTTGGTGGTCTCTTGTCTGAGTAGATATCACATCCACTTCCCTCCTAGTCATTTCTGCTGCTCTGTCAAGCATTTACCAACCAAATCAACTGATCTGTTGCAACACCTCTTCTCCCCTGAGGGCCTTACAATATCATTTAACTTTCCCCCAGCCATGTTTACCAGCACTGAGGGATGTCATCTTGTTCTGAATATAGAAGCTGTATTTATTTTTTTTAAAAAAAACAAGTTTTATTCAGTTTTCCACATTTTAATATCTCTTTTTAGTGAACAGCATGATTACAAGTTTCACATATACATACAAATATGACCATGGTTACATATTCAATTTTTATATCAAATTCCTTATCTTAACAGTGCTTTTATACATTTTCTATTTTATTGTATTATTCCAAATATTTA